GGTTATAGCAGAGGACTAATCACAATAGGATGACTTCTCCAATACTTTGTAAATAAAACAAAGAAGTGAAAAGAAAAAATATAAATTTATTTTGAATATATTTCAACTATGATCTCTTCAACGCTAATATGGACACAAAAATTTAACTGAACAGATACCATCCGAAATCTTCTGTTCTGTCAATCTATAGATCAAACAAGTTTATCACAATATTCCTACTACTTTGATTGCCTGAACCAACAACATCTGTAAAGTAATGCACCTATCTAATTTATAAAGTGGGTCATTCGAACATAATCGTTCCGGCATTGTTACATCTAATTCTACTACCGAGATTTAGCATCTTTTCTCATTTTGAAAAATTCATTATTAGTCATATGTCTGTCATATTTAATTTTCAAACAGTTTATATAAGCATAAAATCTGATTCGATGTATTACCTATTGATTGGAACCAAATCTTTCCGAAACTTCTGAAAAACGAAATGTATGGATTTCATAAAAATAATTTATTTTATAAAGATTATTCATTAGAAATTAGAAATGTTTTTTAAAATGTGGATTCACAATCATATTCTGAACGTTTCAGAGAAATTCTAGATGTACGGAAAGAGATAAGCTGATTCTTTCCAAACAAACAAATCATTAAATTACATATTCCATCTGATCTTGCGCTTGTATTAAAGAAAGATGTATGAGTTAAACTGCAAAAATGAAATTATGCGACCAGGTGCTCCACTTGTTAGCTTTCCTTTGGACTGTTGCAGTTTAATAAACTCATTTCTGTTTTCACCAGCAGCAAAAACAAAATCGATTAGATAATAAACTAAAATCCCCCTAATAATTCAACTTCTTTTGGACGGCAAATCTCCTGAAATTGGTTTCATTCTCTCATGTTGATGATATTTGATCATGAATTCGGACAGTGTTACTTCTTTAACGGTATTAAAAACCAGCTGCGTTTGAGGATTTTGTTAATCAAATGAAGTACTAAATTTTTTTATATTAAAACAAGGAGTAGTCAAATACCTCAACATTTAAATTTCAGATCTTTTAAAGAAATTCCAGGTCGGACATCAATCAGTTCAAAAAAAGGTGAATAATTAAACAAAAACCAATTTAACGGGGTTTTGAAAAGCAAATTTGAATTAACTGCACACAATATGATGATACGTCACCCAAAGATCGCCGAATGTCGCGTCACCAATGCTCGGACGATTTTGATGAGTTACGATGATCCTTCTTGTATTGCATTAAAATTGAATTGGATCTATTTTTTAATTACGAGATACAAAAGAAAATTACAAGTATTTAAAAAGTTTGTTTAAAGAATTAATTTTAGTTTGCCTGAGTTTATCTGTTCATTCAATACTTTTTTAAAACAAGATGTGCGCTACTTCCAAACGGCGATAGAAAGGAACCAGAGATAACTTTAGTTTAATAACATGTTACTTTAATGAGTGTATTCAAAAAAATGAAATATTCAAATATAAATTTAAGAAAAAATGTATTATCAGCAAGCAGTTTGACACCGGAAATGTCAAAAGAAAAGATAAAGAGTAATGAACTAAATTGTAAATTTCTCGAAAATAAATAATAATAACAGATGATTAGAATTTATCACTGGGATCAAAACTTTCACATGCGTTTAACCAATTTATTGGAGTTTTTCTACATCATATCCAATGGACTTTATTCATTTTTCCTTATAAACATATATGGTTATAAAGTATATAAGATAAAACAATATTTTGCGTTATAGAAGTTGTGGCCGCTGTAAATATCCTTGAGATTTTGGGATGCTGAGTATGATCGCCGAAATGCTATCAAAAACTTTAAGTCATACATACAGTTCTTTACATTCTTACTAATGGCGATTTCAAGTTTTGTTTTCCACCTATTATTTGAAAAGCGACAGCTAAAATATGCTCAATAGATATTCAAGTTTAAAATGGAACTGATTTGGAGAAAAAAATAAAAATATGTTGAATTACTTAAACAGAAACGAAATTGAGGAACAAATTATTCTAATAAAATATTTGCAAGAAAATGAAAGAAAATAAAACCAATAACGAATTAGTTACATTCCAAAATAACGCCAGTTGAAATACAAAGAGTAGAAAAGGAAAATGGAAAGACAAAGAACATTTCATTATGGGGAAAAAGGTTTTTTTTAATTTTTACAAACACTAATGCCAAAAAATGATGAGATTGGACTAAGGTTGAATTCAGATGCAGCTCTAAACCAACGAATGAAAAGATTTGCTACCTTTTATAAGATTAGACAATTTTGAAACAAGAAAAAGGACTGGTCAGCAGTTGTTCCGAAATTGTAATATGCAAGCAAACAGAGCAAGTATATGCGAAACACAGCACATATCTAAATCTACTGATAGTATTAATCCAATAAGTTAAGAATTAAGAACAGCGAAAGCATCGCCTCTAATATTAGGCTAGTAAAGCTAAATCTTTTATTTGGCAACGATTACTAACTGGATGTTAACTTTGGTTAATAAGAATCATCTGTTTATGGGCAGAACTCCAATATGAAATAATGTATAATGATATCTTCTTTTCGCTAGTGATTATGATTTTAGCTGCTTTAAAAATTTTTAATTTTTTTGGAACAGGAATATCTACATCGTTCCTGTCAATAATCCAACAGTTGAAAGATGTAAACTATACCGCATCTGAAAAGTATACAATATGGGCACTACAGTATTCAGTAAGATAGGCATTATACATCATAAATTCATTAGTATAACTTCATTTAGGCAAAACTTTATCTTATAAAAGCCAGTGTGGAATAATTCATGCTACCAAGATATAACTTGGTAAGCCATAATGCTATATATCTAATAAAACGGTTGTTGATAACAGTGATAACTGGCATTCCTGCAATCCTGGAATAATTTATGTTAGAAAGTAGCCAACAGAGCAGAGTAATCCTTACATATTATTGTTGCTATCACAATTTTTTAAAGTATAACTCCATCTCTCTATTGCATCGCAATGTATCGATACTTGTTATACAATCAGATCATAGATAATCGCCAAAACACTCAATGCATTCATCATTATATCAATTATGATATCTCAACACTCTGCAACTGCAATATCCATTACAAAAAATCATACTCTCTCTTCACCAATGCAGTAATGTGCGGTGCTGACAAATTATATCCTAGTGACGAAGTGTGTTAGAAGTATTCAGTCGCAGGAAATTTTTCTTCAGCAAAAACGGATGTTTACCCTGAAAATACTTCACTTACTAAAACCTTGGTTTCTTTTCTGTGGGCTATTATAATTAAATCTTAATGGAAAAGGAAAAACATCAAAAGAGAGTGAAATGCGGATTTTCGATCAATCACCCGTGGAATCATATAAGAGAATACCTTTTGTATGCATTTTGCACAAATGAAGTTTTGCTCTCTAAGCTCAGCTCCAGGATAAAAATGAGGTTATTTATGCACTGCTCTTATGTCTTAAACCAAATGCTTTACTTGATTTCATTTACATTGCTGTTTTCTAGCAGATTTATAGAATAACTTGATCAGATACTTCCGTGACTTATTTCGGTATTGATGGTCTGCTACTAACTAAACCAAACGCAAACCATCAGACCTCAACCAAAATGGATATAACCGTAATCAAATTATCCATGCTGTTAAAGTCTTAATTATAAAATTCCTCCTTTCATATTAAAAACGTTAGTATACTCATAAAACCAAAACAACATCTGAATACAGGTCATCTCATACAAGATCATTATCCTTTAAACAAAATCCCAGCAATACATACACCAAAACAAAGACAGAAGAAAAATAACTGGAAGCAAAAGTCAAGCAATAACAAAAACTTCAACTAAAGATATTTAGCTTTAAAAAAGACATATGGCGATGAATGGAATGCAAGGTGAATACTTGAATCTAGTAATGATAGTACAAACGATGTGACTAATAAACACATCAAATTTTGTGTACAATTGTACTTTTATTATTTGCCGTTATGAATTTATTCAATTTCTCAAGTAACCTTGAAACATGTCCCGTTTCGAAAAGTTCATGAGAACATTGTAAAACTCAGGATTTGTTTAAAAAACTCTCAAAGTAACTAATTTTGCTATGTTATAACTATATCACCATTTTACAAAATCCTTCAAATCAAGGGTCACAAAAATTGCACAATAAACAAGTACATAGGAAGTTAGCAACCTCAAGCATAATAATAGGGACCATAAAACATACGAAAAGAAAATGAAATTCCAGTTATGACAAGAATTCAGAACATATATATAGGTAGATTGCATCGAAATGCTGTACAAGCAGTTTATTACATTTTTTAATAAGTGAAAGACTATTACTGGAGAGGCCATCTCAAAATTACAGATATTTAAAATAACTGTAATTAGCCCCAATATACTACTGAATGCAAAGACAAACCGGCAATGTAATCAAAAAACAAATGGTACTAACTACAATCTCCATTTTTTTCTTGATTTTCAATTTATTTCTGTCCGTATTTGTATGACCTGTATGATGATTGGTCATAATATTTGGTACAAAAAATAAAAATAAATAAGTTCTGGCAAATCTCCTCCTTCACATGCAATGATCATTAAGAAAGTAGAAATCACCAAACTGAATCTTATTTTGTATGCCACTGTCAATATGATAGTAATAGACATTTCGAACATTGATAAGCGACATAATAACATAGTGTATAATCATCTTATTTTTCGAAATGGATGATATTCAACATGTGTTGTTGTGTGACAATATAATGAACATTATCCATGAAACTCTATACATTATAACTACAACAAAACAATTTCCAGTTATCGATAAGCAGTGTTACTGCTTACTTTCAATTTGCTTCGTTGCCAATTTTTGATAATAAGATGACAAAATCTGCAATGATCTAGAAATATTAACAAACAACAATTAAATAAGGCAGTCTTTGTGAATCCCAAAAAGGAGTGTGAAAGACAGAAATATAATCATATACTTAATAATTACCTTCCAAGCCTTGGGAGCCATGAAACCCTCTGGTGGTTCAATACCATCACGAGCATATAATCTCATTTTCGTTCCACTTATAAACTTGAAATCTTTACTTCGCGAAGGATCAAAAAATGCCATTTTGCCTTTCGTTTCATCATACGCAGCTACGCGAAACGGTATTATGTCCAAATTCGGCAAGCCGGGAGCCATAGATAATACCTTGAAAATCAATTATTAATTCATAATTAGACATTTACTGCTCTCAAATATTACTAAAACATCTGCAATGAGTAAATCAACAACAGTTAATAATAATAGGAAATTAACTTTCGAGCCATGTGTCGGATCATACAAGTAATCGCCAGTATCGGGGTGCTGTATGCCTGCAGGATCTCGTCCTACTATATAAGTTGAAACACCTGCTGCTAATCGAGCCCTAGCATGCCACTGTACCTGGAACTAATTAATCTGTAAAACAAATACGTTATAACGACAAATTAAAAAAAAGAACAGTAAAAAAAAATCTCTACCTCAGTCGGTCCAGCATACAACATTGGGGAAGGAAAAATAGCAAGTACAGTCCATTTTGGATCTAAGACACCTTCTGCTAAAACTGCATCATATTGTTTCATGCGCACATCTAGTGGCACATCGTCTTCCTGAAGACTATACTCATACGAATGGCGATTTTTTTTTTTGATTTTATAATGAAAAATGAAAGCTTACCTAGACCCCAATCCCAAAGAAATTTGTATTTCTCTCAAAAAGATCAAAACTTATATTATAACAATTATTGAAAAAAATACAAAAAGAGCAAACTTTTGTCCAACCACCCAATGGGTGCAGTAACAACATAGGATTCTTGTACTTTGTTAGCAGTTGTTCTCTTGTATTCTGCATAAGAAGTGCATGACCATTATGAATAGGATTTCGCAATTGAAAAGCAAAAACTGCATCGCAATTGGCCTTTGCGAAAATATTTCGAAGCTCTAATGGTGACATTCTGTAGCAATCAAGACCATCGTTGTATTGAATTCGTCTCAGCACCTAAATTCACTGGACGGAGAACTTAAAAATTCAAACTTCGATGTCGAAAATGAATTAATTTTTAGGAAGATAACAAATATTTCAAGGTTTCATCATCAATAAACTGAAATGAAGTACTGTTGTAGTGTTGAAAATGTATAATGCAAACGGATAAAACCAATAAATGTATCACAAAAAGCTACTTGTACATCACCGCCAAGTAACCAATTCCCACTTTCCAAAATTTGTTTTATTGTGGGATGTCGAGGATCGATAATACCGAATTGACGTGCAATTCGTTCTTCTTTTCTATGTTCAAATATTTCGCCATCCTTCACAACAGCAACAACGGCACTGTTGTATACAAGAGCAATTTCAGAACTGATAGAATGTCCTTGAAAATTTTCATATGTCATAAAAAAAGGTTGGCAATACATTTTGTTTGCGATAAGTAATGAAACGCAAAGAAAAAAATGCCAACCATCCATGAGCTTCACTTTTGTATCATCGTCAATCGGTAACACGATTGGTATCGATTGATTTAGCGGTTCGTTAAGTAACCAAAGTGAATCTTCTTCGGTGTCTTCTGGCAGTGATATATCAGGAGTAAAACATTTCTTTTTTAAATCCAAAAGGAGACCATGATGTAAACATTGCAAGTATTGACGTTCACGCATGAATCCAGGCAAAGGAGATGCCCAGCCTTCAGCCAATACCTAAAAATACGAAACAAAACGGATAATATAACACCATGTTATGTATAAGCCAGAACTGCTAACGATCTATTTAAATATTCACATAATTATTGACGGAAAGAAAAGAATGAACCTGTAACCACTCCAGATCAATTTTGGTCAATTGCACCCTTGGGAGAAAGTTAATGCGTTCTAGTAATTTGTCTTTCAGTTCTTCATCAATGTATAACTCTCGTACAGGTGGTCCAGAAATCCGCTGATAAGCTTTTGCGGGCAAAATATTCTGCAAATATAATGAACTTTTTTCATAAAAATGAAAATTTTTGGCTTTTGGAGATTTTTGGCTTATGCATGTGAAGCAAAACTCATTTTCTATTGATAACAAAATGAAATTCCCAAAAATACATCTTCAGTTAAAAAGGAAACATCTGGTCACCTTCTGGAATAAAAAATCCAGTACTTTCCTCACGGATTCAGCTTCAGATTCAATGCCTGAGTCAAGTATAAGATCCGGCTTTTCTGGTGCTTCATAGACGCTATCAATCCCTGTGAATCCTTTCAGCTCTCCTGCACGTGCTTTCTTATACAAATCTACAATAAGATAAACGGCTCCTGCACATTTAATTCTATAAGACTTAACCCTCAAAAGTTTTGGCAGAAATGAAAGGTTATATATAGAACTTCAATCTATGAGCAACTGAGTTGAGACAAGACTTACTTTTAGGATCGCGAAGTTCACAAATTCTCAGTGGTGTATTCACATACACTTCAAAGAAAGCAAGATTATCCTGGAAATGAAAATCCTATCAAAACTACAAATCCTAATTTTCAAAATAATACAATATTAACACCGTTTTCACCTGATTATGAATAGATCTTGCATCATCGCGATCACATTTATATGGACTAATGAATGAAGCGAGAACCACAATGCCCATATCAGCAAATAATTTGGCAACTTCAGCAACACGAAGGATATTTTCTCGCCTTTCTTCTTTGGAAAATCCGAGATTCTTGCAAAGTCCATGTCGTACATTGTCACCATCTAAAGCGTAAGCAGGTATACCAAGCTGCAATGCAACAATTGATAAAACAGTCAAATAGTGCGAGTTCTCCTTAAAGTTGAATAAATAACGGAATTAAAAGACATCAACAAACTTGTGTCAAAATTTTTTCCACTGCAAAAGCAACTGTTGTTTTACCAGCACCAGAGAGTCCGGTGAGCCAAACAGTACAACCACGAAAACTGGCATAACGTCCAAGAACTTGCGCACGTTCCTCTCGTCCTACTTTGTGCTGTTGAAACGTTACGTTTGTAGCACCAATTTCATTGTCCTTAAACGATTTCGATAAAAGGTGAAGCATATATAACATAGTTAAACAAAAGCTTTAAATCGAAAACACATCAGTTTAAAAAAGAAATGAAGAAAAAAAAACATTAACTGCAGCAGTAATTTCAGAAAGTGAGTGCAGAACTTTTTTAAAAAACATCTGCAACAAAATGAAGGAAGTTTATTTGTATTAGAGCATCACACTTCTAAGTGAAGTGCACCATCTCGGGCAAGGTCAAAAGATCAAGCAGTGAATCAGTGGTTTGCGAATTACATCACACTTTCTTTGACATTACGAACGTCCTAAGCTTTAATCAAATCATGTTTTGTAACAAAAAATGAAATCCGTGAGTTAGGAGGAGGAAAAAAACACATTGGTGGTACTTATAAGAAGGTGGAAAGATAAAGTCAGAAAAATCCTAATATCATCCCTTTTTTTAAACTAAATTCAAATCAGCGACTAAGGAAAATATTTATAGAAACATATTTTAACGAATAGTACACAAAGAATTTCTGCTTTTCAGTGCATTCTTCTGGTGTACTGAGATGGTAACACAAGCCTTAACAACAAATAGCATAGAATGATGAATCAAATATTGGAAAGTAAGTGCAAATTATATAACTTAGGGTACCCGAAAATAAAAGTAGATAAAGAAAAATATTAAAAATAAAACGCTGTATCTTTCTGATTGGAGAAAGTGAAATAATACCATTAAAACTAATGGAGGTTAAAACTGTTCAAATAAAGAGTTAACACCTTAGTAACAGTGAGAACAACACGTTGAAAGCCAAAAGTTCTTTGTCAGCAGCGGGATAAGTGCAATAAGAAAGCACAATATTAAACCCAAACCTGCAGATCGAAAAATGGTCCAATTCGCATTTTGATGCTGTTGAAGATAACAACTGATATGATTGATTCTAAAAATTCAAATAACGTAAATGCAGTAAATAGAGAGCAAGCAATGCTATAAATACTCGCTGCGTATGTTTGAGAAAATATCAGGAGATAGAAAAAGCCGTAGTGTCACCTTCATTTATTAGACTTGTTATCCGCTAAGATGATATTCGTTGCAACATTAATGAACTTTCCATATAAACATCCCCCTCTCCCTGCCTATCTCCAAACAAATCGCTAAACGTTGACATAAAAATATTTTTTAAAATAAGCAAAACAACGTCAAAATTGCTTATCATTTCTTGATATCAACTAGATTTCTGTGATGCCACCTAATGAGAGAGCACATCGATAACAAGTTTTAATGCCTGATTACAGCACCACTCTCGATGTTCTTTCTGCTGTAGCCCAATTTAAAGCTATTAGGAGATATACAAAAACAAATCAGAAGCTAATTCGAATAAATATAATTATATTGAAACAATTATATTCATTTACTTAATTGTTGCATTTAACGGCAATTTTGCAGATTCTATTCCAAATCTCGATCCAATAACTAATATTAAATGGAATCTCACAGATGAGACCCTCTATCCAGATGAATCACATCCATTTTCAATAAAATTTTTTGTTACATCACAGTCTAGATGAGAGAGGGGTTATTTATTTACTGGTAAATCGTGATATCCTTTATCAGAAATATGAACAACAAAGTCAATTCAAATATAAAACAATTAAGGTAGAAAATGGAACTTGGCAATTCGCGGTGAAGTAAAAATAGTTTTGATTACATCATTTGCCAGAACTGTACCTATCATACAATTCACATGTACAATATAAAACTGATCATCAAATTATCAGAGTTTATTTGATCGTTTAACTAGAACAGAACTTTCGCCCACTGTTTCATCACCTTGGCTCCCAATAAGTGTGTAAGAGATGCAAATTTGAACCAAGCTTCTTGTGAGTTTTGAAATGAAATTTCGAAAAAGTATTATATTCAGTATTCATGAGACAGAAATGAAACTAAGACAAGGATCACTCAAGATTGAAGATTAGCAATAGTAGATTTCTCTAAAATTAAACGAAATTAGCTGTGAAATACAGTTAAATCACATGAAAAAAATTAAAGTTCAACACACCTGTATTCGCAGCATTTCAGTGGAGAAAAAATTTTTAGTCTATTCAAAATGTAGTAGGGAAGAAATCTAGAAAATTGAATCCAAACGACTAATGTTTCGGTAGCACAATTTGAAATTCAATGGCGTTATCAAAAAGCATCTTACCAACGAACAAGATCACATCTCGTCTCGGAGTTCGCGTTTGATATAGCAAAGATTTTATGATGGTAGCAAATACTTCCTCAAACATCATAACTTCATATCTTATTTTGGGGGACATGTTTTATGAAAATACAGGAATTGTCTATCCCGTCACTCAACGCGGTTTACTCGCCGTTAACAGCACTTCAAGTGTGTCACAGGACATAACATCATCCTCCCGGAACTTATGTTACTGGTTTTCAACTATGCTCAAGTTATCGATTCACTGATGACTGCAACATCTCTAACACATTATTTTCGGAAAGACACAAAATTCTAGACAAAAAAATATTCTAACTTGGATCACTACCACCAAGTCTCCACATCCCGAACCGTCAAGCATCCATTAGTTTTTTCCAGTTATACATAGGAAAACCTAATTAATGTGTTGTTTCTCAAAGATGTCAATTTCAGTTCCCATTACAACCCACGTGTCAGTCGGTTCGATACCCTTCCATGAATTCTTGTTTTAGCACAGAGTTATATAATAAAAAAACAGTCATAACATCGAACCATCAGATTGTGTTTAAAAGTCAACCCCTCCCCTCAACGATAATTCGACAACAATGCCTAACTTCGGGAGATGCCAGTCGTTGAACTGTTCATCTCTCTGCTCGTCCTGATCTTAATAAGCTAACACTCATTCACTACTTAACTGATCATTTGAGATTTATGCAATATACATCTTGTTGTAAACTCACCATAAAAACCCACTAAATGGAATTTTAAACAGTGCCTTTTTCTAATAGTATTCTGTAGTGGTGAAATAATGAACAACCATCATCGAGATAATGAAACTCCGATGAAAAAGATCAACTTATAAGTGATCAGATAAAAAAAGAATACCACTCTATGGTGATGACCGAAGTATGAGAAAAAGCATCACAGCACTAAGCAATATACAGCGACGGAAAATGAAAAGCAAATGCTATTATGCAATAAAGATAATCATATATTGAAAGCGCTAAGTGCTAAGAAAAAAACCTATCATTCAATTGCTGTTTGTTATTATAGGACTGAAATTAAAAGGCTACTCTAATATCGGGTAATGGAGTACATTTACTATATCCTTTTTACAAAATCTCTAGAGAACGACAACATCCCCATCACTAAGACCGCTGAAGTGTTCCTACAACGGAATTGAATCCTGGTTTTTCCCGCTATTTCACTTGATTGTGCCAGAACAAGAATTTTTTTCCTTATTAACAGAAAATTTCAAACATGACATGATCAAAGAACCAATTGTACATTTGAACCTGAAATAAGTTCTAAAACGGGAAATTTGTAACATAAAATATGAGCTGCACGTCGACAGATTATATAATGTGAAAAAATGAAAAGTTTGTAAAGCAAAATATGAACTGCAGTTCGACAGATCATATACATAATGTGTGAAAAAATAACAGGTATGAAATGTATTTGTCTACAAGGGTAATAAAAATGGGACCAAAAAATCCATAAATCCAATTTAATGGTAATTTTAAAGTCATAACTTGGCATCCTCATTCCACCAGTCTTCCATTTTAAAAATGTACTAAACAAAAAAAAGAAAAGCGATTTAAAATGAATAAATTACAAGCATTATTTACATTGTCTGTTAAAGTTGAAAGTGATTATTCTCATAGCACAAAATTTCATAAGCATTATATATAAACCTACAGAGCTAACTTATCAATTCAGTATTATTTTCTGCAGGTGAAATCGGAAAGTCGAGATTAATTGTGTCGATTTCATATGTCTCTGGCATGAAAGTTTTGAAAGGTAAGAGCGTCTTAAATTCACCCGTCGTGCTGTTGCAATAATGAAATATTTTTAAATAGGGTTCCGGATCGTTCGGAATACCAGGAATCCAATCAATATCTTCCCCACAACCATCTAACTGGAACGAGCCGTCTTCGTTTGTGAACGTCACTCTAAATAAGTAAAATTAAATTTGTTAAAAAAAAGGAAATGCGATAAAAATTTTTTGCGTTTGTAAGTTAAACTGATGTATAATCATGAATTCACACCGAATAAACTTTATTTAATAATTTACATATTTGTTAAGATGAACATTGCAAACATCGGAGCAAACCATTGAAGCGTTTTCAAGGATCGGAAGGCGCTATACTTTTAATATATCAAAGATACAGTTGACAACTAGAAGTCACAAACTAAAGGAAAGATATCGAGGTGAAAGATATCGAGGAACAAATTAAAGGAAAGATACCTCTGCATAGATATCAAGGAATATCTCATATCTTTGCAAGATGTGCTTTTTAACGCTAGTGCAGAGAATTATGATATCAGCAATCATATCGTTTCATCTTATCCCATTACATGATTTTCTTTTCAGCATATGAGAAATGTCATACATGCATTCAATTTCTTTCATGGTCTTTTTCTGGTTCAATTTTCATTTCTTTTCAAGTTGGTCTTCATAAGTAAGAGCTAAAAGATGGATCATCCATAAAGAACGGGAGCTGTAGAAAACATTTCAGAAATGGCTCACAACATTTCAGCATTCGAGTACTTTGCTAGGAATGATATTCTTTATAACACAGATAAGGATAATTTAGAACTTACCAACAGAACAAGATATGAGTTTCAAACGTTAATATTTTAAGAATTTACAAAAATAATTATTAATCGATTTTAGAAATATGCGGTTAGGCTGTACAGTTGATGAAACAGATCTATACAAAAACGAGTCTATTTCTATTAAGAGCACGATGCCTACAATATGTTTACGAATTAAATGTAATAAAATTTCTGGGGTTGAGATATTGCACTTGTTTCGGTGAGTAAATGAAGATGGAAACCAGTAAACATTATCAGGAATCAATGACGAAACTATAAACAAAATCATTCATAAACTCGCAAGCGTAAGGATAAAACAGATAAATCCCACGTAGAAAGATCTCGGAAACAGAGAGACTTCTTATTATAAAATGAAATTTGTGGAAAGCAACGGTACTTTTCCATACGAAAAAAAATTTCAAATATTTGACTGGAAGCCTAAATGGAAATGGAATGTAAATAAGGTTTAGAAAATCTATGCAAGAGTAACAGGTGTTATTCAGATAAATAAAACGAGATCTCAAAATCGATATGACAACCGTCATCAATTCAATTCCCACATAATTTGCACGTCGATAATTAATAGTAGCGCATCATCCCTAGTTAAATGCATAGACTGCTTTATTTCACCTGATTTGCACTAACCAAAACTACAAACAAGCCGACAAAACTCTGCGAAATCTTGCTTACCTATTGCACAAATTTGTTCATCTTTATTGCAAAATTCTCACAATTAGATCAATTCTTAATATTATCCCGTCAAATACTTGAAAATCATCTACCCTTCCATTTTCAATCTTCAAATGTTACGAGATAAAGCTCAAGTTTTGCAGTGGTTTAAAGTGCCGATGATCATAATAGAAGCACATCGGTAGTTTGAAAGTTGTATTGAAGGTATAGCAAACTAGTCGACTAAACAAAACAAGCAAAAAAAGATTTAAGAATAAAACTTTTTTGATGCGCCGTTGATTTTTCAGGTGATTCTTTTTACATAAATAACAGTATCAGAATTGCTTGAACGGATATTTTGGAGAAATTCTCAACTTAAAAATAAAGCTGGTAAGAATTTGTAAACCTACCCCATTAAATCATCCCAATCAAAAAGCTGAGCAATTGATAGCCCATCTCGATCATAAACTCGAACTTCAACATTAAAATTTTTTGAAGGATCATGATGACAACGTACGTGGCCATGTACCCAAACACACTTATGTCCTGCGTAAGCAAGTTGCGTCAATAGCAAGATAACCCAAGCATTTAGAGATATCAAATGTCTGAAATTCATAAACTACATACGTGCTGCACTAATATAAGGTATGTTGCACGACAAACATCTTTGCTCTTTGATAAAACAATGTTGTCAGATCATCAGCACCCCTCTGAAATCAATGTGTATTTGTTCAGTTGTAGTCGTATGTTCAGATCCATCTAATAAGAGCATATTTTATAATATAACAGGAAACGAATCGGGCTCGGAAACTAAATCAGCACATGAAACAGTGACCGTGTCTGAAGTTGAGGATTTAAGGAAGCAAAATTAACACGGACAAACCAAATTGTGTCTCACTGCTCATGTTGACAATGTGACTCATTAAAGTTTTATGACATGATAAAATAAAATAAATGAAATAAAACGAGTAAAAAAAACAACCTTTGCATTGCACAAACTTGCCTAACTGCAACGTTGAAAGAAACCAACGATACAACTGCAATAAAAAAAGAAAAAATATCTATTGAGAGCAGAATCACAAAATACAGTTATCTCGTGCCGTACTGCCTAATGAAAATTGCAGTTGAAATCTCCCTTCGTACAGCGAGCTACTATGTCTAGTCTTCTTATTCAAATTTAGATGAAAAATGGAAAAACCGCAGTTGTTACATTACTCAAGGTTCAAAACGCAATATAAAAGAACTTCAGTTCTGCCACACTGTTTTTCAAAACCTTGATAACTACATCGACTTTCAAAAATTGAAGTCAAAAAACACAGCTTCTACACAAACACTGACGAAATTTCGCCTTCGAAATTCTCGTAAACACTGAAAAATGTATCGATATGGCCATTTCACAGCTAATAAACAAGAATCTTAGCCGTTAAAGATTGACATAATAAGAAAAAAGATGGACGAAAGCCATGAAAATTATTTATTGAAGTACAAACAGAACAAACTGCAAACATTACAGGAATAAAAATCGGGGCAACTATTTGTAAGAAACATAGAAGTCACGCTTGGTGACTTAAGATAGAAAATACAAATACACTTTTCAGTGAAGAAATTGAGAAAGTAATAGATTATTTGTATTGAAAACATAGAATTTGGTTGCAACTGCTCAAAAACAATTCTGTAAAAAAGAAAGCACAACCTAGAGGAAAGTTTTACTTGCTTTACAAATATTATAATATTAATGAGCAATCGAAATTGGCATGTTAAGACATCCAATAATGTCTTGAGAATCCAACAGTTTACCAGTAAAACACTAAATTGAACAAAAGTTACAAAGGATTCCTCTGATTTTACAGAAAACGGCTAACGCACCAATTTAACATTTTGCGTGTATTTTCTAAAAAAAACCAGTTTGTGCCATATTTGTTACTTATGATAATAAATATCAGAATTCCGTACATAATATGACAAGATAATATTTGAAAAAAGAAAAACTAAACAAAACAGTCACGATAAAGGTAAGACGAAAATAAGAGTGATTTACAGATTACTGAATCCATACTATATCGCGGAATCATTTACTGCTTCTCGATCGCTTTTTAAAGTAGTAAAGAACAAATAAATTCAGGATGAAATCAAACTGAAAAGTTCGTATGAATTTTCCCTTAACAATATGAAATAGAATACCACCAAATCCTCATAAATTTAAATTAATTGCGAACAAGAGAAATCCGAAACACAGAAAATACTGGTGCGACAACATCCTTTATGAAAGAAAAACAGCAAATATATTCGTGATACTGCCCTGAGCAATGCACCATAAATATTCAGGGTTTCACAAAAGAAAAAAAAACATGTTAAAAATAAATCGCACAGGTTGGTACAATATTCTTGGATAATTAATATTGTGGTCGCGTGCATGATAAATTAAAACCTCCAAGATTGGAAATAGAGATGAAATTGCCTTTTGATACCTTACAACAATGCTGAATGCAAATGTGTACCTGAAAGTAATAAGTACAAACAAGAATCTGCAAGGTAATCATATTATTTATGAAAGCAACTAACTACAAGACTCACCCTAAAATCATGCAGATACATAAAAATCAAAATCCAACTCGCTAATTTTATCATGTTCAGAAATGGCAGTTGGCAAAGTAAAATCGAGATAACAAAAATAGTAAAACTTCTCTTTGTTGCTGTTTTAACCCCCTAGAGGATAGAACAGCAACAAAGAGAGAAGCTTTACTAATGTTAATAAATTGAAGAAGACTAGACAGCAGAAACCATCAATAGTTAGGGTTAAGTGTCTCATTTGCTGGTATCACACAGCTTTTTAAGAACCATAGAAAGTTGTGCTGGAGAACCAATCAAGGGAATGTACTAACTAGACAAACTTGATCAGCCAGAACAAAAACATGAAATGAAATACAAAATAAAGCGTTACTTCTGGCTGATTACTAATTCTTGGAATCCAGCATGATTATTTGCGTAACGTTTCACATCAAAATATCTGTCGCTATCATCGTCATAGTAAAAAGCATCCTGTCATCATGATTAATTGAATCATAAGAGCTTTTATCCTAAAAAATTGAATGATATGACATACGGAAGACATGAAAAATAATACTACAAGAAATCTTTGTAAATATAAATGAACCGTTTGCACAACTCATGAATTCATCCTGCATTTATTATGACAAATGTTACCTTTTTGTCACTAAAACGGTTCTAGAGCCTTCTTAAAATATAAAAATTTAGCTCGAGAACTATGAAAACACTTGCTATACAACAATAATGAGAAAAGTGCAAATATACTTTACAAATAAATACAGTTTTGAGTAATGCAAGCGAAGTGTAGAAAAAAGTACAATCAATTTAATAAATTCAGCAATAGCATTCCGGATGAGTGTCTAGTTCTGATATGATATCAATTTAAACGCGATCTGTACTGCCAATAAAGGTAGAGATTAAGAAAGTTGGAAGAGGTACGAGAGCAACAAATCTATTCATCTGAAAACCAGCATGGTCGTAAACACGAGATAAAGCAAACAAAGCACTGATCAACGGCGTAACAATATAGCTTGGAATAAAATGCCACTTAATTATCATCAGATGAAACCGATAATGCCAATAGTTCCAAGATAGATCATTTCATTCGTGATACTATTTCTCTACTCAGGTCAATGATAACTTTAATCGAAGCGCTGCTGTCTTATTCTCTCTGAAAAAGCTAGACATATTGTTACACTGCTCAAAACAAGAGAGGAGTTCTGGAAATCAACCGTGAAATCCCACACCGCACCAAATTGACCTCATTTCCCAGACAAGTCATCATCCAACCATTCTGCCCAACACCAATGTCGGAAATCGAGTGCACAGAATTTAAATGTCATTTTTTGGGGTGCAGTTTGTGGGGTGTGAGAAATTTGGATTTTCTGAAGTTCCTCCCTAATATTTTAAATATCCAAATTTATTTGATTTTAGACAAAAGAAGCTAAGAAAACAAGTATGTCTGGTCTCCTCTACAGATTTGAAATGACGTTTCTGGGGTTGAAAAATTACTGCAATTTCACTATTGTGATACCTTAGCGAAAGGTACACCTTTTGATTGGCTGATAAAGTCAGGATTCACCTTAATGAAGCTCATACCTTCATAAAATCTAGATATGCTCTTCTGACACTCCGAGAATGTTAAATGATGTAGATGATTTACTGATTGTTAACAGCGAAAAACATTATCATATATCTTCTCGTGACTTCCTCTGATTTGCCGTCATCATCTCCGGTAATGAAATATAACTGTGGTATCTGGATAAAGGAAGGAAAAAAAATAGTTAGTGGAATAAAAAAGCAAACATATGGATAGATTGGTTCTAGCAATCCAAAAAATGCTTTACACTTAGTTCAGAGAACTAGAACTGTCTAAATTTGCAAAAACGAAAATAAAAGAGTGGGCGAAGAAACAAGAAACAATACTGTCATATATTCTGATCATGTAAGAATTGATGTTGCTGAAATGCTATTTAACTTCGAATCTTTCATCAAGAAACCAAACAAGTGAGAAAACGTCTATAGTGCCAAATATTATTGAATGTTATTTGCTGTAATACCAAAGCAATAACGGTTACCGCAAGGATGTTCCATGTTTTGTTAAGCAAACAATGACGAAGTGATCTTTTTATCATCATTTAGCACTGCGCTATGTAGTGGGAAAATCTTATGTACATACACTTCATCCAAATTACCTCGTCAATTTTAAATGTTGAGAAAATTAAGAAGTATGCCACAAATTCACATAGAATACCGCGATTTGATATTTCTCGCTTTCTTCGTCATCAATTGAATGTGTCACACTTGCAAATTCTGTTATTTTAAATAACTTGCACAATAATTTATAGATAACTTCCGCTTTCGTGATAAATAAAAATAATAGTCAGTTAATTCTCTCCATGCAGAATTATATCAATTCAACATCAAATGTGATTTCTTGTTTCTTATGCAAATGACCTAACATGACTTTTTTTGAAACAATGTTCCAAGCATATAAATCAGTGTACATTCGATAACAAAGCTTATCACAGATATCACTGGTCGAACAAAAAGAAGACAGCAATGGCACCACTGATGGCACCTTTCTGCTGATGTGCAATATTTTTTCTCTGACAGATGTTACTGCTTGTATAATTCCAAATATAAGTGCAAAATGTATTTCCAACATAGACTTTGTTTACTTTAGAACAGTTCACTCTTAGTTGGCATCAATTTATCAATTTTCGGTAACATTTATGAAGTTTTAATAAAATATCACTTGCTGAATAATTCATATGCTGAACTCAGTGTTTATCATAAAATTTGAAATTGCATGTTCCGTATCGGAATAAAACAACTGTTTTCGATTGTTGTAATCCTGATTCTTAAACAGCTGTCTGGAAATTTCAAAACTGTGTAAGGCTCAATTCACACATTCGAAACAATTCTTAAAATCCCATCGAAGGTCATGAATGGATTAAGAAAAATATACGTGGTGATAACATGAAATGTGTAGAAAAATATATAATAGCAGTGATTCTGTCGATTTTTGGGTAATTTATTCTCTAGTACCAAAGCAGTGGATTGAGAATAAATTTAGCAAAGAATCGGAACTATTCTATATATCATATTACTCTGCTGGAATGGGGATTTGACCACTGAAATTAAGGAGGATTATTGGCACATTCGGAGCGTTATGGTTAAACAGAAACTTGAAAGAATGCTAATCATTCATTAAACAACTCTAGGGATTAAATGGAAATTGCAAAATATGCTAATATCTCAACAGTTTTTACTGCAACTCAAAATATGTCACTGATTTCTTACCACAAATTTTTGAACAATACATTTCAGCATAAGCAATCAATAAACTTATTTTTTCTAGTAAGATAACTAAGATAAAAACTTAGCATTAATAAAATTACTATCAAATTCCAGCTAGTACCTAGAATTTGATAGTAATT